GTCAGCTGAAACGGTTGTCAAAGATGAATGCTCTCGGGACTTGCTACTATAGGCGTGTCGGTCGGCTGATGGAGGGGCTCGATCTGCCGAACCTGGGGTTTCGGTCAACTGATAGTGAGGGTCAGCCGGCCGAAACAAGGTCCTGCACAACCCAACTCACTGGATTTTCATTCTGGCTGTGCTTTATGCTTGCTAAACCTATGATAAGCCTGATTTGCAACAAGTTCAAATTCACGGCAAAAAAATAGACAATGATTCAAGATTTTTAAACATACATAGCTTACACCATTCATCATGAAGTATTTACATAGTCTCAAATTTACATTAATTACAATCAAGTGTCTTAGTCACAATACATGTCCATGGTTTGCAAAATAAATACTCTTTACTATAGTTAGAGACTTTACAAAAGATTAGTAATTACGCAAAATGTGGCAAAAATAAATTTCTAGTTCTCTTTAAGCTTATGATGGTTCAGTGTCCACAACTTCCTTCCCGCGTCCTGAAAAATGATTAATGATAGGCTGAGCATAAAGCTCAGTAGGTGGTACTTAAGACACACCTCTTGTGGCCCCGTGAATCCAAACAATGAATAGAACAATAGGGGGCGGGGTCATGCTAAACTGGGGAAAATATAATATCAATTCCAAGTTCAAAAAAACCAGCAATTTTCATGCTATGAATGCAATGCCATGCATGTCACTCCCCATTTTCAAAAAACATCCATCACTTCACAAACTGTTACTATAACCCGTCCTTGGTGACTCCGCAGCGACACGAGAGAAGGATTGGCTACTGTCTCTGACACTTGGTACCCCCGCGGCGTCATTTAGGGCCCAGCTAGCTCAACCATGCTAGAGTGTTTCCCCTAGTTCTCTCTAGGTTACATTAACACACTAGCCCTTTGGTGACTTCGCGGCGACCGGGTTTTCATAAAATCACTTTAATCAAAACAATTTCCCAAAATCTCTTTTCATTTGTTTCAAATCATTTCCCTTCATTCATGCCCCATGGTATGCATGTATGTCTCATGTTTTCAATACTAGGGCAATAAGGGGTTTTATACTACACAAATAAGCATGCTTCCATATAACAAGTTCTAACATTTTAACGAACACAATAGGCATAGAAAATCAACAATTTGGCATGCATTCCATGTAAATCAATAAATACACATAATTGCATGTTTCATCTACACAATTAAATCATTTAAGAGACAATCAATTCAAATTAAGCATGATTGACAATAATTATAGTAGAAAAACTCACAAAGGCGCAAGAAAGTGAGGATTAGAGACCCCTACCTCAAGAATATGCAAAACCCCCAAATTTATGCCCTAAATTTTGAATTTCCTATAGTGCACCAACCAAGGAATTGCTCCGATCAACTTGTAGATCTCGTCGTAAGCTTCAATTTGCCGTAAACGGCACTCAAAAATACCAAAAGTTGAGGGAGAAGTCAATAATTGAATCTTAAAATCAAAAGAAAGAAAAAAGAAAAGTCTAGAATGGGAGAGAGAGAGACTTACGAGAATAAGAGAGGAATGAGACCCAAGTGGTCTCTAATGCTCTTAAATGGCTAAGGTGGGTCATACCACTTTTCTTTTCTTTTCTTTTCTTTTTTGTTTTTCTTTTTACACCACATACAAATGTATATACACATATGCACATATTAATTTACAATCACATAAAATGCATTAAATAAAATAAATATGATGCAAATGAATCCAATCAAAATTTCCGCATGCAACAATTCCGGTAGCGGGTCCCACGCGGAACCGTCCGGCCCGAAAAACTGAAAAATGTCAAAATGATCACCCTTGCATTTCAAAGAGTCCTGAACTCAATGAAATGCTCCAAACGACTCTCGGACACAACCGGCACACTCCGCAGTGTCCGGTACGTAAAACGGTAAAAGACGAAAATGCCCTTGCAACAATAAAAATTCCGGAAAAATGAAAAAAAATTGGAAATATCACAGAAATACTGAAAAAAAAAATGTAAAGAAATTACAAGTTGAGTTAAGATTTATATATAGTTAATGTGACTCTCTAATCTAAACATTAAACATTAGGCAAATAAAATAAATAAATAATTTACAAAGACATACTAAAAAACATAAGTATAATCCAACTTAGATTTTTTCACTCCATGGTATCTTATTTTGCTTACTAATAACAAATTGTTGACTGCAGTTTTTAATATTTATGTTTTGATATAAAACTGTTATTGCTTTATGGTAGATAATGATGACTTGTAAAATCTCAAAATAGATAACGTATTTGAATTATGAATTTAAGTCTCCCTAATGTTAGATGTAGTATACAAATAATATTATTGTTGGTCGAATAAAAAATTAAATGTTAGACATAGCACACAAATAATATTATAGTTCGTGGAATACAAAATTTAATGCATACTTTCGATCAATTAAACACATAATGATACAATATTTTATTGTTGAAGGCAGGTTGTTCAATTAATATTAATGGCATCTAACAATAGGCGCGAACAATTGAATAAATTCCAAAAATAGAGTAAAGAGATAAGAGAATTAAACAAATGCAGAAAAAGAAGAAGAGAATGGGATGTAGTACAATCAAGTCGGCCAACACTTCACAAGTTGAAGAAGGTTCCAAGTTGCCAGTATTGTTGTGCGAAAAAATTTGAATATGAACCTCCAACTTTTTGTTATTCTAATGGTGATGTGACATTCACATCTACGCCTGTTTTCGGTGAGTTATATGAGTTATTTACCTCTAAAAATTCCCTCACAATATGTTTTCGCCGATACATATGTGTATATTACATCATCTTCTCTTTCACATCGTTAAGAGTTTGCGTTGACAAAGAACTTACGAATATGAAGAGTGGGATCTATACTTTTCATGCACAAGGGTAAATATATCATGATCTTCCCTCGCTCTCAATGGAAGGCAGTAATCCATGTTACTTCCAATTATATTTCTACGACACAGACAATGAGTTACAAAACAGAATGCAGATTCTAAAATATCAAAATATAACGGGAGCCCATTGTTTTGAAGTTGATGGAGATATTGTCGTCAAATCCATATGCTCAGTTTTTCTGCAAGCTCAAAGACATTCATGCTTTAAGGAATTACGAAATAATGATTAGAAGGGATGTTCGACTTGATCAATGGGTGTACAATTCACCTTCAACCGACCAAGTCACAACTAGCTGTGTGGACATAATTGTTAATGCACATTCTGGTATAAGATATAGAGTCAGACACTACTATAGTTGTTACGATCCACTGCAATATCCTTAATTGTTTTCATTGGGAGAAATTGGTTGCATACAAGTATTCAAAAATGTCATCAAGAATGCGTTGTGAACAATATTATATAGACGGTGTATACATATATATAATTATATAGAATATCATTATGTTATGACAGGGAGAGAAAGAAATCATATATGAATTTAAGGATAATTTGACATTTTACATTTTTTTTTTTCGTTTTTTGTTAATGATAAAGTAAGGTTAATTTAGTAATTTTACTACCAAAATTATGATTTGTCCTTATTTGCAAAAATTGAAAACAGTAAAGGTATTTTTCAAACAATAGGAGAGTTATTGCACATTTTGTATATTATGAGAGATTTTTTTGCACTTAACCCAAAAAGTATATTAAAACTTAACCTATCAACTTTTTACGAGTTATCTTACACGTCCCATCTGATGGACTTGAACTCAACTTTGACATACTACTTAGATCTTTGCCTAACACCGAAAAATAAAAATAAAAAAATATATTTTGAAAAAAATATTTTATATCTAAACAAACAAAGCCCAAAACTAAATAAGGTCGGATTTAGGGAGAATGAAGAACTCAAATCTGTCAAATTATTATTAATATTAATAAATATGTAAATATATTTTCAATTATTAACTTAAGTTCCTTCTTTTGTTTTTTTTTTTTTTTTTCTTCATGACAATTTACAATTTTAACTACAAAGTTAAAAAAAATAGCCTTAGAGTAAATTTAATTAAGATGATTTTTTTTTTTTGGTTCCGTTGTGGTTGAAAGATCAAAAAAAAAAAAAAAAAAAAAATGGTACATTTTGACTTTGAATTCCCTCTTGAAGGCACAGACTTCTAACATTTTGATCGGACTTTGTTTTAGTGAATTATTTTGTTTTAAGTTTTTTATTTTTGTTTTTTGTTTTCTGTTTTATTGAGCACAACAAATCACCTCGTCTCAACTAAGTGTGAAATTACCAATTTACACACCACACTGCTGAATAGTGAATAGTAAGAAATAACACTAGTAACAACATAAACAAGGAAAGGCAATGTGAAAACTCCGAAGTATAACCGACTTTGATAGTAGTTTGGGAAGAAAAAGTTAAGCCAGTTACCTTTTCATAGGAGGGAGTGGAAAGTACCAAATTGGGCTGTTGGTGGAAGATAAAGACTAGGGACAAACTTAATATTATTTTGCACAAAGTGACTCTTCTGCATCAAATTTGCATCCTCGCACCACGTTCATTCTTTAAACTTATTCAATTTAAGATCTATGTGTGCACCATGACCCATTGAATCTTGTCCATTTTTTAGATTTGCTACTCCAATTGTGTAGCAATGGGATATGCCACCAATCTGGAACTCCACAGTTAGAAAAATTAATGGAGCCTAAACAAAGTCTTTTCATTTTGTTCGAATGGAGGTTATTGAACGTTCTATTGAGCTAAACAAGCTGTTTCATTTTGATTTTCATCCGCACATCAAGCCAAGTATAGTGTTCTTAGAACTATGATTGAGTTTGGGCTTACAAGGAAGAGTAAGCAGGACCACCTAATAGCTTATACTTTTGAACTAGATGGTAGGCTCGGGCCCAAGGTGGTTTGACATGCAACAAAGAAGTCACAAATGAGCTGAAGCATCTGATATCATATAAAAGTATTTCATATAACTTGATCTTTGTAAATTCCACTATTTTACAACAGCATATCTGTATATATATATCACTCTTCACATGGCAGGTTACACAATTTGAAATCTATATGTACTTCCAAAATTTGCCTCCAACAGTTTACAAAGACAACAGCCGGACTAGAGCCATCCCTATATGAATTTTCATTTCATGCAGGTGCTCCAGTAAAATTTTCTTGCTCTCTTCATTAAAAAAAAAAAAAAAAATAGAACACACACACACAACTTGCAGGTAAGCTCAGAATATAAAATCTGGAATAGAGGAGATCTCCTGCATTTTTTCTAATTAATCAAGAGTCTCGATATATTGGCTGTGGAGTCCACTTGAGATGACACCGCAGGCTTCCTGATTTAGTTTCGTCTAGGACGAAGGTGTCTGTAACTTCCCCTTCTAATATAACCCTAGTGAGTGTCATGATGCATTTTCCCATCTTATCCTGGAATATTTAACTGGCATAAGTACTTGTACAATTCAACTCAACAGTATTGCAGTAATCAGTATAATTCAAAACACATAAATTTTTCCTCGTTGTGAGTGAAACAATAAGGGAAATGTTTGACGTCCTAAGGAGTTGGCTCTGTTATGAATTACATAATATTTTATTGTAGAAACTATTACTGAGAAAGTAAAAGATCGACTGAAACCCCAATACTGATCCAATACCATCAGTTAGAATTACGGCTTCAACAATGGCCATTTTAGTCTCATATGATACCGAATTGCAGTCTAAAACAAAATAATATCAGTTTTATAATTCTTATTCTTTTTTTCTTTTTTATTTAAACCCATAGTTCTCCTATCTTTTATCCGCACATTATTCCAATTCTAGCCTAAACTAATTAAGTCAAATACTTAATGCCTTGAAGGAGAAAATTTTAGCAATTCAGATAGGAGGTGGTGAGTCTGGTGACCTACTTTGTGGTGTACAGCACTTGCCAGCTTCAATCATAAGCCGTTTTACTGAATTTTGAAGTCAAACTTCTCCATCTCGAGAATTTTTATATTACTTGAAGAATGAAGAACATTAAGACTAATACTAGCAGAAGGTTACCTTGCCAAAAGTATCATGATCCCAGACTTCCAGCATTAGCAAATCATGTAATGCATCCTCAACAACAAAATCAAATGTTTGATTCCAAACTGGATTCAAGCTGTTATTTACGACCTGAGAATGATGAAAAGAATTAACAGTCAAATCCCAATAATCTGAGCAGTGTACAACAGTTGCCTACTTAAAATAACTAAAACTTTTAAGGTGGGAAAGAAGGGAAGGACACTGGGGTTGGGGGGGTTGGACTGTTAAGGTGCTTGTAATCACCAAGGAGAGTTAGTAGCTCCCAAAAGACACATGTTTATACAATAAGTGAATTCGGTTATTTTATAAGAAACTGGGGGTTTCTTTACCATCTCTGACTGCTTCCAAAAGCCAAAAGAGTGTTAGTTAATGAAAAAAAATCTAAACAAAGAAGCAATTTTCTTTACCATCTCTCCTACTGTTTCCAAAAGCCAAAAGAGTGTTATTGTGGAAAATTGGAATCTTACCCTTGTCTTGTTTTTCTGTCCAGATTTCTTCAATATAAGTGAAACATAGGGATCGGACTTTCCCATCAGATCTACATTCGTCAAGTCTTCCGCACATATTATTGTCACAGAAAGAACTCCTCTTACAAAGACATCCTTTTTCTTTAGTGTGGAAGATTTTGAGATTTCAGCAGTGTCTGTTCCATCATTTTTGAGGGCCTTCTCCAATGAAGTCAATGAGTAGTCTGGGTTAAAAGGGTTTGAAAACCCACTCTCCGTGCCAAAAGGATAATACAAAACCTCCAAGTGCACCTAAAAATCACAAAAAGACGTGCCACATGGAGTTTATACATGTTTTAGAATACATCAAATAATGGAAACTGCACCTCATGTAATGACCTAGGCAATGTAAGTATTTCTATAAAGTTTTAAGCTAAACAGTTCAGCAGATGGATAAATACACAATAAATTTATAATGATCTCTCTCTCTCCTGACATGCACGTGCACACCAACAGAATCAGCAGGATTTTTTTTTTTTTGGAAAAACCAAGAAAAGAAAAAAGATTGTGAACGTTTCAGTGACAACTAATGATGTTAAAGGCGACCAGTGATCGTTTTAGGCATCTATTAATTATTGTTTTGCTATTATAGCCCTATTAGTCTAAATATTATAGTAGATTAAGTTGAGTATCCATATTATAATGGTGGCTAACCAATAAATGCATGATACTAAGTAATTGAAATTTATCCTTTAACAAAGTAGTACTTAAGAGATGGTCATGATATCTAAACATGTGATGATCATTAGAAATATTTCGGTGACCAATAGCTTGAAAAACAGCTGATATAACCTGGTCATCAAAACAAATGTTTCAGACATACCGTGGATAAATAAGGTATACTGATTTATTCTAATTAATTATATAATACAATAGAATAACCTTGAGCATTTCTTTCTAAAAAGAGAGCTGCAAGTATTATAAAATATGGTGGGATCATGATATAGTGGCTACGGTAGAAAATATTAATAAAATGTTAATGAAGCTTCTTGAACGATTGGCATCTTTTTTTTCTTTTTCTTTTTAAAAACTTAGAACCCTATATGAATATTGTATTCAATATCTTTTAGAAAGAGATGAAGATAAAAGATTCAGTTGGCATTCTCACCTGACCCCTATTTTTATTATCCCTCTGGACGTCCAAATTCTTAAGCAGTTTCAGCCACACATCCTTCACCTGACCAGGTTCAATCTCCTTCAGTGGCAGTTGAGCAACACCAATGAATTCAGATGCTTGAACCCCTTCATCATCAAAAACTCTTACTGTCAAGTTTTGAGTAGATAAGTCTTCAACTACGAACTCAAAGTGTTCATTCCAGATTGGATTCAGGTCATTATCCTGAAGAATTAATGCAAAATTATATTCAATTCAATAGGGAAAATAAAATATATATATAAAAATAAAAAAAATAAAAAATAAAAAAACCCAATGATTGAGAAATAAGATGAGTCTTCTTACAATTACTTTGCTGGTTTTCATTTTGTCAGGCAATGGCCGTATAAATAACACAGCATAAGGATCAGATTTTCCAATGATGTCTTTATTTGTTAATTCTTTTGCTTGTATAAGCTTCACCTCTAATATTCCTTTGGGCTTCAGTTCTAGGTCACTGAAACACAAATTCATAGATGAGAGCAACTTGCATTTTCCAAATAAAAGAGAAATAGATGTGCTTGTTATTTGAACATTTGAGAGTGAACATCAAGGATACTTTCCAAAAGATAAAGTGGCATCTTGTTTCGACTCTTATGAGGCTTCATGTGGATTAATAGTAAACAAATAAGGAATATGAGGCCATTCCAGGTTCAGACCAAAGGATCACTGGTGCCACAGATTGTCTCACTTGGTCCCCATAGAGAGGTTTGGTTCAATGACTTTCGTTGGCATGCTTGGGCTGCTGGTTACATGAGATTATGCTAAAATGAAATATTATAAGTACTTAATTGAGGTAGGTAAATTTGGAAGTTTTAGGGTGGACATGATCTTACATGAAATGCAATCCAGTGGAAATAAAAGAAAAAACTAAGCTACGTCATTAAGATTATATACAAACAAACAGATGTAAATGCATAGTGTACAACATATGCATATTATCATTAAACCAGACACCTGAAGTCCAACATTCCATACAATCTGAGGTGGGGAACAAACCAGGTAGCTTTGACCTGGATCGGGTCATCTTAGCCAATATTGCAGAAAATGGTGATATCATCATGACACCACAGATCAAACCCAGTAAGGAGCTCATTTGGCCAAAAAAACAAATAAATGCATTATAAGTGTTCGTGCACAAAAATAGCCATATTGCAGCAATATCCGGTTTCCTTCCATTCTCACCATCCCTCAATGAGAGAAACAGAAAAAAGAAAAGGAAATACATAGGCTGAGTATATATTTCATCTCTGACCTGATCAGGGGATGCTCAATATAATTTGAGGCCTTAGGCGAAAAATATAAAAGTGACATTTTTAATATGTAATTTATTAACATCAACTAATATTTAATTACGTTTATTTAAAAATCGGATTCTTGCTTTTTGAGATGCAAAATTACTAATTAGATTCTTGTATTCAAGTTTTGCTAAAGTTTTTTTTCCAATATATAATATAACCAGTCCAATAGATATATACTCAATAATTAATACATTGAAAAACTAAAGGATAACAAACAAGCCTACTAATTTGGTGGGAAACAAATATTGAAAACAGTAGCATACCTATAATCCCCTGGTAATATGGGTATAATTTGCCGAACTGGCCATGTAATAGAATCTTCAATAGCATTTTGTATTGTTTCCTATGCAAAGGGAAATGATAGTTTCATCAAACCAATGACTCTAATAAACAAAGAACTGGTATAAAATGCAAATAGAAAATAGAAAAATGCAATCACTGTAACATACATAAATGTCTCTGGTCATATAACAATTGCTGTTACTTCTTTGAAAATTTGACGCATCATTTATTGGATTGTAGCACTAGTGTCTATTTCCTATAGTCCCTTAACCAAGAGAGAGGCATAGGTCAAAGTTTAGAGACTTCTGATGGCTGGAGATGATATTTAAACTTACTCTCTTGCCAGTGGATGAGTCTTAGGAAAGAGAGAAAATGAATACTTCATGACAAGTTTGGATCGGGGCATATTTAAGCCTTAGACGTTAAGGGGAGGATATCATTCTGTTTCTTAGCGGGAAACCAAACTTGTGGAATCATATGGGCACAGTTCCTGAATACTCTTTCATAAAAAGTTGTCACATCCTTCAGCTTTTGCCAAAAGAGTTAAATATTTGAGGTTTGTTTTATGCATGGATAATCTCACCACCATAGCAAAGTCTAATTATAATATTGAAATTTGTTTCAGTTAAATAGATACAAATCATCAAATTTGAACTTTAGCTGGAAAATGGATGATCAAAATTTGAATATTAAGAATTTGGATATGGGGTCATTCCAAAATCATAAAACTAGGATTTAGAATATAGAAACGAGTATTGTTGAAATACTTTAATGCCATAATTATAAAAAATAAAAATAACAAGTGCTAAGAAACACATTTGAACTCATCTAAGCTTTTATAAGCAAGAATATTTGTCAAACAGTGTGGGAAGATATGGGATGGTTTTCTCTCATTTGGTTTCAAAATGCAGCCAAACAATTAGCATTAGGGACCTATTCTCGAAGTGTGTCATTCCACTATCTTTGCAATTTTCTTTATTTTGCATCACCACATATATCCCAGTGATGATCCTATTTTCAAATTCAACAATCACTGTATTTTGTTCAGGTAGTTCATCATCTTTCAGGAAAACTGATATGGATGAGCTAATCCAGTACTGAAGAGGATAAATTTTATAAGCATTGTCATACATGCAGCACAGGGAATTAGCATTGACAATTTTTACTTGGATATACAAGCTGAAAGGATTTCAAACATTTTGACGTTCGTGTGATTCACTTGAGAAACCAAATCTATGCAATATGTTTTTGACATTTTTGGTCAAATGTACAAGTGGGACTTAACATTCATTACCTTATAAGTATCTAATCACATTAAATGGTAACAATTCAGTTGTATATGCATGTGAGAGAAATTTAGAAAATAAATGATAGAAAATATAAAATCCTCAAACCTCAATAGCATCAGATATTCCTGGAATTGATGATATATCGCCACCAACTACTTTAAGAGTAAAATCCAGCTTTTTCTGTGGGAAGAAATATGAGGAAATTTGTAATGTTAAATCAAGTTGGTAATATTTATTTACAGATTTAGATCTTTATTCCTTACGAATATATATCATGTAGAAGCATACAATTACATATGTGTCTCTTATAGTATACTTTCATATAAATGGGCAAACAAATCTTTAATCTCTTCATAAACATAGGTATGCTCTGTGACATGCACATAAATGAGAATGCATTAATATATATCAGGCCATGAAGATTTGTTTGCCCATTATGTTATAATTTTTTTCCATTATGTTATAATTTGGCCTTAAAAATAATGAGGACTGACCTTTTCCCTCAAGGAAAAACAAACAGCTCCAAAACATGGGAACTCTTCAACTAGTGGTTTGAAGATCAGCCTGAAAACCCCAGTGAATCCAACGTTTTTAACCTAGATGCACAATAGACAAACCATCAACAAGGGATAATATGTTATAGTAAAGTAACAATAAGATTAATGATCATCAAAATGATTATTGTTCTCTAAAGCATAAAGCCCAACAAGATTGGCATTTCATAGGAGGAGATTGAATTTGAACTCAGAAATTTTTTCAACTTGAAAATTATACATTATTTGAGATGTACCATAAAATTGAGGAGCTTTAAAAATCAGTCTTGGTCAAGATATAGATCCATCTTGTGGCAAAATCAGTCAGTGCTACAAATGAAAACGTGAGAAGGTGCCAACTAGTCAGCTGGTAAAATTTCTAAGCGAATGTACTAGAGAATGAGATTGAATCCCACCTTCATCAAGAGGGAGGGGGATTGAATTATGGGTATGGTGGACAAAGGGAAATGAGAAGAGAGATGTTCTTACTTCTATGTAGATGTAATAATACAAGTAGTTTCTCCTCCTCCTTCCATGTATAAGGTTGAGGGTTGAGTCCCCCAGTTGGACAAATGGGTGTGTGTGTGACTTACCTACCAAAAAATAAAATGTCTTCTTTGCACATTACACTCTTAGACTACAAATACTTTGTGCATTGTTACATTCTTTGCACATTACACTCTTAGACTTTGTGCATCCATTCCCCTTTATTTATGACACCGGGTTGGGCAAAACCAACAAATAAACAAATATATTCAACAAGTAAAAGGATAGAGAGAGATTCAAATCCTCAATAGTTCTTTTTTCAAAACTATTAAGGTTTTCAATACCGGAGCTATCAACCACTTAGCCATCTCTTTGAAACGCAATTTATTTTTTATTCCTCTGAATTGAACATGGCTATAGGAGTGGATACCACTCTTTGAAGTAAAAAAATAAAAGAATAAGTCCATTCCCCTTGACTTCATGTACGAATAAAGCCATATGAATCAATAGATTCATGGTAAAATCCCTCCATGATGTATTTTATTACAATTTTTTGGCTGATAAAGTGATCAAAGGGTATATACTTTGTTTGTTGGTAGTTTGGAGGATTAGAAGCATGATTTCGCTTTCCAATTGGCTGTTTTGCATTAAGTGCTACTTCATCAATATTGTTGATTGGCATACCCCTTGTATTTGCTTCTCCTGATGGCTGATCAAGCAACAAAAATGTTGTTTTTTCCGGTACATCATTATGGATTGGATTATTCTCTGTATCTTTGTAAAGTAGATCATTATGAGGGTTACAATGAATTTGACTGGGAAGTCCAATGGCAAAAAGAGGTGGATTCATTAGCTCGTTATTTAGTATGAATTGGTGAAATGAAAGAATACATAAATATTATTCAACAGGCTCTGGGAGGAATTCTGGTGGCTATCAGAATTTAGAAAGCCGATGCTTTGATAAAGTAAGGCATCCTGAATGCACATTATGTTCTTCAACATGATATATTTCTTTTTCCTTCTTATTAAGTTATTAATAGGAATATATAATCAATGACATAATAAGGCATATGAAAATTTAATTTATATTGTAAATGAAGAGATTACAAATTCAAACTTCAAGGAAAAGAAGTATCGGAATGGTAATTAGATTAATTTGCCATTAAGCATAAGCATGACTACAGTTGAGATATGAAAATAAGCTAAAGAAGACCTGTATTGGTAGTCCCACACCAACTTTGGTCTTAACATCAATTACAATATTGGGGTCTCCATCCCACTGCAACTCCATCTCCATGGTGACTTCCCCAGGGTCGCCTTCAATAATGGAAACCCCTAAAAGTCATCAATAACTTTTATGAGCATCAACTGGTTTCTGATAAATGAATAAGACCAGTATGCAAGCCCGCGCGCGAGCGCGCACACCCACACACATATACTACCATACTTTAATATATCAAGATCTTATCTACGTTCACGCTGTAAATTAACCGAAATGAAAGCTGTATACACTAAGCAATGATGTCACTTACTCACAGATATCAATTGATAAAATGGATTATTTGTATTCTGACGTTGCAAGATCATATGCTTCAAAAATAATTGTCACTCAGAAGTCGGAAGATTGCACAATGAACATTATTTTCCAAAAAATATTCAGTACTTATCGTTTTTTAATGTTCACTCTTGATGCTCAGTTTTCTCTTAAATGAGTCATAGCCTTCCTAGTAGAAAGTAATTTTGAAAATATAACCATCTCTAGAAAATTCTGTAATGAGAATATCTTAATCCAAGAAATATCAAGAATTTGTACTTTAATATTTCCTTGTTGACCATAATTAAAGGAAATGAATCTATAAAAGGCTTGCACACAAAGCATTTTTATGTAGAGAAAGTCAGTCTTTAAAAATCATCCATAGAAGAGCCAAAAGGCTAGAATATCCTCTCAAAAAGTATCCGATTGAAACAGAAAAAGAAAAGGCATGTACTCCACTCTCCTCGCTAACAGATATTCAATTTTATAACCTATTCTCGACATGGTGCAATAATAACTTATCTATGTAGCATCATAAGAATGGTAAACAAATTTGCAACCTTACGAATTGTTGGAAACCATCTTCATTACATGGACTAGATATTGGATGATATATAATTGCTGGTATACGGATTTAGAAGAACAAACTACTCAGTCCAGGTGATTTTACGATGTAATAAGGTATGCTCAAAAGCGTGAGCTGATATCACTATATCATATAAAGTTATCATGATTAGGTCTTAAGCTATTGCCAAGATTTAGGCAAGATAAGGACTCTGGAGCAACTGTTTGCAAAACAAGATTGAGAAAAATCAAGAAACAAGCAGAAATAGTAGTCCGTTTCTTGAAAATAAACGTTTAAATGTGTACTGCAATCGGAGAACATGATTTTACTAACTGTTTGCAATTTCAATACTATTGTGGATCGACAAAACTGGATTGTCCATAGCAGAAAATCAGGTTGTAACAGCAAATTTGAAGTCGGTGGAACTTTCTTGTTACACTTTCTGCATTCTTTTCGTTACGTTGATCTGGTTATGATAAATTACTCATGGTATATCAAGTATGAACTTTATTATAAAGTTGTTCAAAGTTAATAAATTTTCATAAATGGCTGTGTGGGATCAATCTTGGCATCTTCAGAATCTTAAATGTCTCTCACTTGCCAATTGTGCTAGTCCAGTAGACAACATTGGGCAATCAAACTAACCTGTAAATTGCGGAGCCACATTACCAAGGGTCAAGGTAGAAAACTTTAGAGAAGATAAGATAACTGGTCTATGTTGCTCAAGAATTGGCTCAACAGAAGTTCGTATTAGCTCCGATGCTGCCTGCACCAAAAGTTTCGCAAAAAAAAATTTAAAAAGTTTCAATACTGACCGTCACCACATCAGATGCAGCAAATGATAACCATTAGAGGCAATGAAAACCTATGAAGCACATATATTTCTACGAGGTTGCGGTATCCTTTTCGTATCTGTATCTAATAACGGATATATTTTGAAAACAATTTTTTTATAGTTTGAAAACAATTTTTTTATTAAAAACGCATCAAATACTCCGCAACAGAACTTTTCTAAGAATAATATCATACTAGTATATTGTTAGGAAAGGCGGAACAAGAATTCCAAAAAAGAGAGAATAAGAAATCGAGATACAAAGATAATAAATTTAGTCTACTTTTTGTATACAACATAACTCTAAATCCAATTAAAAAAAAAAAAAAAAAAAAAAAAAAAAAACGAAAACTCTAAATCCAACAAATGATATCGACTAGAGGTGATGAGAACATAAAATTACCTCATTTACATAGGGCCAGATTTTGTCAAGTTGGAGGTTGAGCCAATTTAACTGCAATTATTCAAAACAAGACACCATC